TCTGCCGTGTGCAGCTCCACCACGCTCACAGACCGCGGCCTTGATGTTTAATTCAAGCAGCGAATGCTAGAGATGCCACGTCTGGGGCTCCCTCAGAGCAGGACGGCCGTTTTAGTTTCTGGGGCTGTAAGCTGGGGAGCCTGTGGTCTGGAAGGTTTGCAGGGTAGAGGGCCCGCTTCTGCAAGGGACTCAGCTGGCCAGCACCTCCTGGCTGGGGAGGAAGACACCTTTCTACGGGGAGTGTGGCCTCTTCAGAGTTCACACTCGCACACTCATGCACACAGCACACACACACGTACATTCACATACATGCAAGCATGCAAGCACACACATGTGTGTGAGTGCACACACACAACTCCGAAGTCAGAAAAGTGAACAATGACAAGGAAGAGACTGGGGGCCAGCCCAGGTTAGAGCACAAGAGTTAGGATGAGAGAGACCTGGGGCCCCAGCCCAGTCCTTACCAGCTGCTCTGTGAACTCGAGCAAGTCTCTTAACTCTCTGAGGCTCATTCCCCTGATCCGTAAAACTGGGACGACCAACCAGACAGGGCCAGACAGGGCCATCAGGGGCGTTTACAAACCTGGTCATGGCTGCAAGCACGAACAGAGCCCAGTGCCTGGCCTGGAGATGGCCATGGAGAGGTGGCAGTCACGGTTATTTTCCTTGTTTGAGATCTGCTCTACCTTAGTTAAGAGTTAAGGAAAAGGGAGAGTCTGACTCTATTTAGAAGTCATGGCTCCAGCACCTGACACAGAGTAGACCCAAAGACATGCGTGTGGACTGAGGCGTGGACGGAGAGAGCTGCGAACTGTGAAGACGGGAAAGCCCCTCTGTAGACACGCAGTGGAGACAGGGCTGCAGGGGAGCTTCTGACACTGGATGCTGGTCACACAAACCTTGCTGTGAGGGACACGTCCTGGTAGTAGCCCCTGCTGGGTCCAGGGTAAGACTCCCCAGAGAGACCACTCACACTGACAGCCGGCACATGGAGAACGGCAGCAGCCTCCTGCCTAGTGCCAGGCCTGGTCTGGGCGCTTTGGAGACAGCAAAGGGCAACTTCCTACCTGAAAGCGGGAGCCTGGCTAGCGAGGGATTCCTGCGCGGTGTTTCATCCTAACAACCTACAAGGTGGAGGCTGTTGGCTCCCGTTGACTGACGAGGAAAGCAAGGCTCAGAGAGGTGGAAGAGGCCTGCACCAGTCACAGTTACTAGGAGAGGGAAATTGAACCCAGGACTGATTGACCCTGTACCATGTTACAGATATCAGTAAGTGGCTTCTTTCAGCCGGGTGGCCAGCCTGAGTCTGAAGCCATGCTATCTCCACCTCCACGCTAGGAGGCCAGTCTCCCATCCCCATGCCTTTCCTCTGAGGCTTCTCCTGTATGTCCGCCTGTCCATCCCTTTGGTGGCTTCCCAACTCCCCTTTGCATCTCAGTGTAGGTCTTGTGGCCTTGGGAAGTCTTCGCTGAATCTCTATGCTGGGTTAAGAGCCCTCTCTTGGATCACGTAGCTCTGAGTACCCGCTGACACAATTATTGGCCCACTAAGTCTGCCTGAAGTCAGCTCTTTACCTGCCTCTCCACACTAGATGGATGCTCTTGAAGCATCTCCTCATTCATGGAACCTGTCCATTCACTGGGCCAGTGTCCATCTATCCATCCAACCACCCATTCAACCCATCCATCTGTCCGTCTCCTTATCCATCTAGTCACTCAATATTTATTGGGTATCTACTATGTCCTAGGCATTCAGAATAGTGGACCCATTCCTGGATTTTCAGAGAGCTTATTCACCTATGCATCCTCAGAACCCAGCAGAATTATAAAGAGGTGAATAACAGTCAACGCCTAAAAAATACAGATGAGCATGTCTGTGAGTCTCAGAGATGTTGAAAACTTGCCCACGGTCACACAGTAAGCAGCACTGGTCTCCACTGAGGTCTGTCTGATGCTTAGGCTATTCTGCCATCCTCCTTTGCATCAGTAAATGCCTTCTGGATCCTTCTAAAACCCCCTTTGCCATTTCAAAGGGAGCTGAGGGGCAGCTTCGGGGGTCCTGCCCCGGGAGAGGCTTCTCACCTTCTGCTGCTTGATGGCCCTGCTGACCCTCCTCTCTTGGTGCAGCTGGTGCTCTGTGCGCTCCAGGGCCTCCTTCAGCAGGGCCTTCTCCTCGGCCTCCTTGTAGATGTCGTCCTCCAGCTTTGCCACCTGGGTCTGGTACAGCTGTACCGACACCTTGCTCTGCCTGTGCACACGGGGCAGACAGGCTCTCGATCCCCTTCACCTTTCCCACTCAGTGCCTCTGAAAACACCGCCCTAAGTGCCAACTTCGCGATTCGTTACCAGTAGGGGAGAGTGACAAGGATTTGGGGAGCTGAGGGCAGAGCGAACAGCTCAGCATCTGGGCACGTACAGAGTGTGGTGAAGGATGTGGCCGGCACCTCCCAGCTTCCCAAGGTGGGGGACTGTGACACTGAAAACAGAGCAGAACTTGGGACCAGCCAGGGGCATAATGGTTACTTGCTGGACTCCCACATGTCCGACTGCAGTTCGAGTCCTGGACCTGGTAGCTTGAAACGCAAGCCAGGTGCATGTGTGTGCATGCCCAAAATCCCAAGAGGAGAATGGAGGAGAAGGGGTTGCAGTGTGACCATCCCACTGGGGGGTGATTTCTTGCTTTTTGTTTCTCTGTCTCTCCTGTGAACATACATATAGCAAATATCTTTCTAAAAAAGAAAGAAAGAAAGAAAGAAAGAAAATAGAGCAAAACTATGCAAACTACATGAGTTATGGATCCTAAGTTAGGTTCACAAAAGGGGCAGCTTGTGTGTTTGGAGAGTGTACAGAATGGGGACACCAAGCACCTGTACTTCCACCTTCTCCAGAGGCCTCCCCCCAACACACATGCACTTTGGCTGTTCCACACTCAGGCCTCCCGCGTTCCTAGCCCAGTCCCAGGTGTCTGCACTTGTCTGCGTTTAGCCAGGACCGGGGAGGCCTGGGTCTTTCTATGCAGACAGGGCAATACCTGAGCTGTTCGATGTCTTTCTCGTAGCCTCTCAAGAGCTCCTCTTTCCTCTCCAGCCGGTTCTTGAGCTGGGTGATCTTATCAAATACCAGGTCGAGGTCTCGTTGTCGGAGCAGGTTGACTTTCTCCCTCTCTTTGGGGGAGAGGTGTTTCATGGACACCTGGCCTGACATGTCCTTGATGTTCATCAAGCTCCCGAGCGTCCTGGTCATGTCCATGTACTGCAGGGAAAGTGGGCATGGTGAGGCGGGCCTGGCTGGGGCTGCCCAAGGGAGCAAGCATCAAAATGCTGCTTCATTCATTTTCTGCAACTGCAGAGAACAAATGAATGCTTTGGGAACGAGTGTGCATGGGTGTGTAGCACAACCTCCATTTATGCTATGCCTTTTTGAGAACTGGGGGTGTGTGGGGAATGACGACAGACATAAACAGTCATTCTGCCTACCCAGTCTTTCAAGGAACTCAGTAATTCCTGACCACGCTGGGCTAGGAGATGGATCTTGCAGAGTTATTAGAATAACAAAATAAGTAAGTGAGGTTGAGATTGAGTTACGCTGTCCCGTGATGAACACTGACTGCAGGGGGGCCAGGCTCTGGACAGGAAGGGACGGTGCCGCGTACCTACCAGCTTCTCACTGAGGTCAAGAGCCTCGGCCGCTGACTTCTCGATGGCTGGGCGGGACCCTGCGTTAGAAAGGCCACTCTGAGGCTGAAATAAAAAAGAAGTAACAACTCTCTCTTGGCATTTCATTAGGAATTTCTACAGCCAGAAGCTAAAGCACTGTGTGATCACTGAAGACTAATTCGAGAGACTTGATTTTGATCCCAGTTCCTGGCTGTTCAGGCCGATTCCTCTGCCTTGTACCCGTGTTCCTACTTCAGAGAGTGACTTTCTCTTTGAAATGACACCTTGCTTGTCTCGTTCTTTGATCACTGGTTTTCCCTTTAGAGTGGCAATTCTCAATTGGAGTGATTTTTGTTCCCTTCCTGGGGACACTTGACAGCGTCTGGACATATTTTGGGTTGTCACAATTGAGAATGGGGCATGCCACTGGCCTCTGGTGGGTAGGGGGCAAGGATGCTACTAAACACCCCATAATACACAGGAGAACCCCCATCCTCTAGCATCAATCGTGCTGAGGTTGAGAACCCCTGGCCTACAGGATAGTTCCAAAGAAACTGAGTCTATTGTGCTGTTGGCTCACGCTCCCACTCCTCGTGCCTGGCATGGCACCTGGCACGAACCCGCACAGAATGGACGTGTTTGTTGAATGAATGAGGGTTAAATGAGGTGCAGAAACTGGACTCCCAGAAAAGGTGGCCATTCTCCTCGTGCTGGAACCTGGTGGGTGAGCATCCCTCTCCAGCGACGGTACAGGACGGTGTGCACAGCGGTGTGCTTGCTGACCCTGGTCGACCAGCTGGCTGCCGGAAGCCCCAGATACATGCACGGAAAAGCTACCAGGCTAAGCAAGGAGTCTGGAGAACCAGGAGCGACCATAGCAAATCTCCTTTAAAAAAATGGAGTTTTATGTGCTTGCCATGAGTGTCCCAGGCATGTTTGCTCATTGTTTTGCTAGTACTGCTCTGTAAATCTCCGAGATCAAAGAAAACATCTACAGAAATACAGGCCAAAGTGCCTGAGATAGGCAAGAATGGGCATACTTATCTATCTGTAGGGATGAGAATACAAGAGGGTATTTGAAGATGGCAATAATTGGACCAAGGATGCTACAAAAAGAATCTAAAGGGAGGCTTGTTGTCTCCAGGCCCTTCCCTGTGTCCTCTGCATCATCTCCAGGAGGGCCTGTTTTCCTGATGGTGGTAGGGGTCCCGAGAGGGGGTCACCTAAGGAAGAGTCTGGGCCACAGGGCTCAATCCCAGCACCCCACCTTCTCTGCAGACTAGCAGGTCCCCAGGCTCCATCATCCATTACCTCTGTGACCCTGGGTGTGGTACTTGACCTTCTGAGACCTTAATCTTTCTTATTTGTAAAATGGGGCTGCTGTGAGGATTAACGCTCAAGCCTGGCACAGAGCACACATTCAAAATAAAGGCCAGCTGTTGCTCCCCTTGCACCTTCTCCTCTTTGAATTGAATTCCTGCCAGCCTGGGGAGACTGAGGTCTCAGGAGAGCCGGAAGATCTCCTGCTTGTGGTGTCAGTAGTGGGATTACAGGTCAGGCCCAGGGGAAGGGATCTTGGCTGTAGGCTGGGGCTAGGAGAGCTAGCTGGCCTCCTGGAACTTGTCTTTCCACTCCAGGCTCTAGGTAAGGTCCAGAAAAAATCGGAGAGAGTGTTGTACAGATAGAACCGCCCCCGTGTGGTTTAGATCCAGACATGCTGAAAACACACGCTTAGCGGGCTCCATGACTGACCCCAGCCTGAGATGTCCTTTGTCATGTGAACGTCAAACGCCCAGCCAAACACCATTTAGGGTATGAGGGCATAAATCACTTCTGCAAATGCTGGTAAATAAGGTGGTGTTCCTTTAAGAAGGGAAGGTTTCCTTGAATGATACTATTTAGATAATAGCTAATAATAATAACAACAGCTATCATTTATTAAGTGCTCATTATGAGTCAGGTACTGGTTTAAGCACCTTATGGAATTATCAGCTTTCATTTTTTTCACCATTTAATTTAGCTGGGAGATGAAGCCCTAGAAAGGATACGTGGCTTGCCCACGGCCACAGCTTACAGGGCTGGGGTTTGAACACAGGTTTCCCCAGTTTTCTAAAAAAAAGTGCATTTGGTTATTTCCTCCATGAGCAAGAGAAAGAGAGGGCGATAGAGAGATAGCAATAGCATTCCTAACAGGGTTCCAACACTGCAATCCACCCCAGTCCCCACCCGCTCGGATGGTGCCCACATGCAAGCCTGGCATACAGGGAGGTCTCCAGACATGACCGGGAACCTGGTGGTGCGGGCCAGCCCCGCAGAGCAGTGCATTCCACCGCTGCGCCCGCCTGGCCTGGACACAGGTCACTTCATGGCTCCCTCCTGCTACTTCTTATGTGTTACGTTTTTCAGTTTACAGTGCAATGTGACCTTTAGGGAAACTCATGGCATAACCTTAACAAAAAGGTTGTTGAGGGGCCGGCCGGTGGTGTGGAGGTTAAGGGCACTGGATTCCCACATGGCTGATCGCGGCTTGAGTCACGGACCTGGTGGCCTGCTTTCTCGCTTTCCTTTCTTTCTCTCTCTCTCACTCTGTCCCTCTCTGGTCAAATTAAAGTAAATGAATAACTAACTCAAGTTAAACAAAATAATATATATTTTTTTAAAAAAAAGTCTTTGAATATTTCTGCAAAACGAACACGTGGTAGGAAGAGGGGGCCACTGAGCTTTATGACTGGTCTGGCCCAATGTCAAGACGATGACAAATCACGCTGTGCACAAACAGAAGGCCGCCTTTCTACGCAAACACTGGGCAACTGGTACGGGCAGGGCGCTAACCAGGGAGTACATATGCTGGCCCCTCAGGGCAGGCCTGGCCCCGAACCACTGATAGGCATGGCCAGGCCCAGGCCCACAGCCAGTGCCTGCTCTCGCGCCCACCCTCTTTGCACGTCAGTCACTGCGGAGACAAATTTTCTTTGGTTACCGCTCGGATCTCTATCCTTGAGATAGCTGGCAAATCAGGTTTTGCGTCCAATAATATTTTCTGGACATTTTTTTCCATTCTGAGAGTCTTTAATTCTAGAACTGATTCACTCAGGTGGTCCTTATGATCTATAAAAGAAATAATTTAGACTCAAAAGAAAGCTCACAAAGATGTGATTTCTCGTCATAACCACAGCTAGTATTTACGGGACACTTACCATGGGCTTGTTTTAATGTTCACGCCCTCCCTCGGCAGATGAGGACACTGAGGCCGAGAGAGAGTAAATGACTCACCCAAGGTCATGTGGCTACCATGAGGCTGCAACCATGTGGCATCAGCGCAGAGGCGTGGAGGCTAGTTCTGCCCAACGTCTTTCAGCCACAGGGACGAGGTACGACCTTGAATCTGGCTCCTGAGTGCTAGCCCAGGGCCTTCACAGTTACCTCCAGATCTCGAGTGAGCCCTATCCCCTCTACATGGGTGCGCTAAGAGGTTACCAACATAGATCCCGGGATAGTGTTAGCCGTGACAAAGCCTCCACCCAGCCACAGTGAAATAAGCAAGAGGACACTATGAGGTTCCATGAAATCCTATTTATTTCATTTCAAGGCCTCCACCTGACCCTGGGATCATGGCCTGCCCACCTCTCTTGGTTGCCGTTGTTACCGTATTACAATGTCTTTCAGTTATATGTGATGGGGTTAAAAGAAGGTAGTCCTGGCCAACCAGTCAGTCCCAAAGGGAGCCCTGAGTCCAGGACCCACCGCTCCGACTAGAGGGGAGAGAACTTACTTGACGAGCAGGCCTTCTCCAGTTCTTTAATCCGCGCTCGGAGCTCAGATAAGGCCTTTCTCTGCCGCTGAATGACCTCCTCGTGTCGTGATCCTTTGCACTTGGCTCCTAGATCGCTGAAGGACTGCTCCTGTGGGCACAGGGATGCACAAGCCCAATCAGGGATTGGACTCCTTCTCTCCCATGCATGGTGACATGACTATTTCATGTGCAGGAGAAACCTCATCATTGAGCACTTTCAGAAAATGCTGTAAGGGCTTCCGCAGAGAAGAAATGAAAATGTTTCATCTCAAATATCAAGTCACATCTAGGAAGATTTCCAACTTTCCTACCAATTTAGCATCGCTGTAACATAAGACCCCTTCCACGTTCCCTCTCCATGTTGTGTTGATTTCTTTTCTTTCCTTCTAATCTTTTCTGTCAGGGCTTCCATTTGTTGTGATTCTGGTCTCACTGCTGAACAACCACAGCGAATGCTACTGGGGGGCATTGTGAGATGAGAACACGTGCTTTCTTTGTAACTGTAATGAGGGTGGGTGTCCAGTGTTTGCTAGGGGAAACTGGAGAATCTGGCTCTCGGTTACTCTGGAGCCCGGAAAACTTTCCTCTAAGACATCTCAGCCTCTCTTTCCCATTTTACGAGATGGCAGGTGAAAATGCTAGGAAGAAGAAAATACTGAGGAGAAGAAACCTGAAGCCAAGAAGGCTGATGCACGTGGCAGGGTTAGAAAGGGTGACCCCAAGGCTAAAAAGCCCAAGAAGGGGAAGCCCCATGGCAGCCGAAACCCAGCCTAGTCTGAGGAATCAACAGATACCGACCTGCCTCGTACTCCAGGAAGGCCATGCACAAGGAGAAATTCTCAGCTACTAAACCCGGGATTGAAAAGAAAAAGGAGAAGGTTCTTGCCACTGTCACAAATCCAGTTGGTGGAGACAAGAAGAGTGATACCCAGGTGGTTAAACTTTGCAAAACGTCTCAGTATTATCCTACTGAAGATGTGCCTCGAAAGCGATTGAGCCACAGCAAAAAACCCTTCTGTCAGCACGTGAGAGAGCTGTGAGCCAACGTCACATCCGGGGCCATTCTGTTCACTCTCACTAAATGCCACGGAGGCAAGAGAGTGGTTTTTCTGAAGCAGCTGAGCAGTGACTTTCTGCTTGTGACTGAACCTCTGGTCCTCAGTTGGGTTCTTCTGCTAGAACACACCAGAAATCTGTCATCACCACCTCTAGGAAAATTGATATTAGCAGAGTAAAATCCCCAAACACTTCACTGATGCTTACTTCAGAAAAAGAAGTTGTGGAAGCCCAGACACCAGAAAGGTGAGATCTTCGACACAGAGGAGAAATATGAGATTACAGGGCAGTGCAAGGTTGACCAGAAAGCTGTGGACTCACAAATTTTACTGAAATCAAAGCTATTCCTTGGGACCAGCAGTGGCATAATGGCTATGTCACTGGAGTACCATGTAGTCAACCATGGTTTGAGTCCCAGACCTGGTAGCTTAAACTCAAGCCAGGAGCGTGTGCGTGTGTGCCCAAGATCCCGAGAGAAGAATGGAGGAGATGGGATTGCAGTGTGACCATCCCCCCTGGGGGGGGGTGACTTCTTGCTTTCTGTCTCTATGTCTCTCTCTGTCTTTCTGACAAGTGCATGTGCTCTATAACAAAAATCTCTCCAAAAAATAGCTGTTCCTCAGCTCCAGGGTTACCTGTGATCCATGTTTGCCCTTAAAAATGGAATTTCTCCACACACAAATTGGTGTTCTAAATTTCTTGTCAAGAACCTAATAACTGATACACACCCGTGCGTGCACACACACACACACACACACACACACACACACACAGATTTCTAAGCCTCTCCAATAGCACTGTCCAACAGAACTTTCTGTGATGATGGAAATATTCTATGCCTGCACCATCCAATATGGTGGCCACACCTTGGACAGCTCCCAGGGCTAGAGGGGCACACTAAGGGCACACACAAGGAAAGTATTGTTCATCTTGTAAGATCATATGCTTTTTTAAGATTTGGAAGAATGCAGGGCTCTTTCTTCCAGAAAAATTCATGAACACATAAAAATTTGTATCCAACTTCTAGAGGTTCAAGGGCCCCCTGAAGTTCGGTCATGGACTCCGAGTTACACAATGCTCCCCTAGGGCACGCAGTTCCTTCCTCGCTTCCTTCCTCCTTCCTCCCTCCCTCCTTCCCTTCTTCCCTTCTTCCCTTCTTCCCTTCTTCCCTTCTTCCCTTCCTCCCTTCCTTCTCCTTCCTCCTTCCCTTCCTCCCTTCCTTTCACACAGATTTTGCTCAGCTGAATACTCTGTGTCAAGCTCTGAAGAGGCAGCAGTGACTAAAGCCAGCAATGTCCCTATTGCCATGGGTTGTGCACCCTAATGTGGGGACCAACCAGAAGACGACAAGCAGGGAATGTGCAGTGACAGTGGTACATGACAAGGAGAAGCTGGGGTGGGAAGCGGTGCTGGGAACCATGTTCAGTTGTTGACAGAGCTGCCAGGGGAAGGGCTCTGTGAAACTGGCAAGAAAAGGAAGAAATTAACAATCTGGTTCTTTTATGATCATTTTAAAAATAATGATTTTGGTTCACATCATATATATATATACACACACACGCAGACACATACATATATATGAGATTATATATAATATGACATGCACCAAAACTATTTTTAAAAATTATGATTCTTTATCATCTATCAATTTTCATCTATCCTGTCAATTATTATCTGTCATCTATTTGCCAATGATCTATCATCTATCACCTATCTGTCAATGCCTTAGCGTCTGTCAATTATCTGTCAATTTTCTATCATCTCTCTGTCAATGATCTATCACCTATCTACCTGTCTGCCTGCCTGTCTATCACCTATCCACTGACTACATGCTAGACACTATTCTAAGCACGGGGACAAGACTGGGGTCCAGGCAGACAAGCTCCTGCTCCGTGGAGCTCATTTCTATGGGGCAGTTATCAAGCTAGCAGACAGCCACATACATACTCTCGTTCTAGAGCGTTACAAATGCCACCAGAAAAACAAAGCAAGGAGAAGACACACTCGTCTGTCCTTCGGATGGCTCACGTGCTTACTAAAGACCTGTACCACACGTTGCAGGCCCCACACTGGCTGTGCTGGTCACCAGAGGTGCGAGGCCCCTGGCCACCTTCGAGAACTGAACAGAGCCGTCTGAGGCCCTCCTGGGACTGTCCCTCTCACCCTGCCACTTGCCCCTTCACTTCCTCTATATTTCTTTCTTCTCTGACCACTTGATCAAAAGAGAGCCTCCCGCCCCCACCCCACAATTGCTCTGCCCTGAATCCTGCTGTCTGGTTCCTCGGAGCATGTATTCCCACTGGGGCCCTTACTCAATCTTGACCTACTTCTGTCTCGCCCCTCCCAGAACGGAGGCTCCGTGAGAACAAATCCTGGTCTCTGCAGACTGTGGTATCCCCCAGGGCCTAGTACTGTACCTGGGCACAGCAAGTACTCAATAAATATAAGGCCTGAAGGCTGGCCCTACAGCCTGCTGGTTATGGGAGCCAGATCTCACAGAGCTGACAGCAGTTCAAATCCTGGCCCCGACAGCTTGAAAAACACACTGGGCACAGGTGTTTGTAGGCCTAAAATTCCAACAGTGGAGAAATGGAAGAGGAATAGTTGTGACAGGACCATGCCCTACGGGAGGGTGCTTTCTCTCTCTTCCCTTCTCCCTGTCTTTCTCTGGGGAGAACATGAGACCTCTGTCGATTAAAATAATGAACCCCAAATGAATTGATGTCAGAGATAGGAGTTGTAAGGCGTTCGTCCCAGCTTTCCAGCTAGGATCAGGGCTCAGTAGCTGAGAGACAGGGCTGCTCCACCCCCAGCTGCACTTAGTAGGACCTCACTTGTCTGCCGACAAGCTGCATGACTGGCTCACTTACTGGCTTCTGATCTCATTCACCTCTTTGAGGCTGTATGCTTGTCCTTGGGGGTAAGCTAGCTGAGATGTTCCTTCCCTCTCTCTCTGAATAGGAGAGGGCGGGGACACTGAAATTCGGGGGCCGAGGTAGCCACAGCAGTGAGGTTTTCTTGGCCCGAAGAGCACGCTGGAGCTCCATGTGAGCCTTCCTCAGGACTCTTCTGGGAACTGACTTATTTAGAGAGGATGGAGATTCTTTCTCATACAACCCCAAAGCCCTCTGACCCACTCTGGCTTAGAGAACAGGAAGTCGCCCGAGTAAGGAAAACCATTCCAAGAAGGAACAAATGCTTGCTGCCTTTTATCTTGCAGCCTCCCTCCTCCATCCTTAATTAACCCCACATCTTTTTTCTTTCTTTTTTTTTTTTTTGAGAGGTTTTTGCTCTAGGGCGCGTGTGCTCACCAGACAGACAGAAAGAGACAGAGAGATAGAAAGCAAGAAATCACCCCCCCAGAGGGGATGGTCACGCCGCAATCCCTTCTCCTCCATTCTCCTCTCGGGATCTTGGGCACGCACGCACATGCGCCCTGCGTGAGTTGAAGCCACGGGGTCTGTGACTTGAACTGCGCTCGACTACGTGGGAGTTCAGCGACATAGCCATTACACTAACTGCTGGTCCCAATCCCACATCTTAATAGGAACTGAAAATCACAGGCGTCTCAGTTTGACAAGCTATCCCAACACATTTACCCAGAGTCCAAGCGAGCTGGCAGGGCCAGACCCTGTGCATTTACCATGGCCGCTGGACAGGGCCTCTCCTACAGCAGATGCTCAGCAGTTGAACGAGGGAGTGGACATGGGTCAGGGCCTGCTCTGAGAGCGTGGGCCACCCATGGGAGTGACACATGCTCCCTGCCCTGTGGAGCTTGTTGCCGCAAAGACCGGATGCAGCACCCCGCCCCACCCGTCGCCCTGAGCAACAAGGAGGCACTTCTGTGAAAGTGCTCCGGACAGCAGTCGGTGCCAAGGACAGCCGGCTGGACCTTGGGCCCTTTCGCTCAGGCTGCTGAGGCCCTGGCTCTCTGCTTTCTGGCAGGGGAAGTGCATCTCTGAGGAAGCAGGAAGGCCAGCTGACACGCTGGCCCGGATTCCGAGTGAAAAGCCAAAGCCTCTTATTGGAATGCCCTGCTCTCTAGTTCCAGGAAGCCAAGGGGGAAGGCTATCCCTGGACTCCAGGGAACCCGGGCCTCGAGGAACCACTGCACCCCACCATCAGCCAACTGAGGTTGGTGGGGAGTGTCACACCCCAGCCTCAGGGGCAGAGGTGAGCACCACTTCCAGGATGGCCTGGCCAACGAAGGCCGTTTTCATTCAAAGACTCACTCCCTGTCTGATGCACAGCTGGGACCGCCAGGCCCGCAAAGGCTTCTGGGCAGGCACACAGAGGGAACATACCTGGAGACAGCCATGGAGATGAACTGTATGGCTCTTTGGGAAGGCAGTCTGGCCTGTCAAGTACGATGAAGGAAGTCCGTGGATCCAGTAATTTCCTATCTAATATTTGCTTTATGTAAGTAAATGGATATGGACTACAGCACTGTATGAAAGGAGACCCAACCTAAACCCACTGCTAGGGGACTTCTGATTGAGCAAAAGGGGCAAAGGGATGCTGTACAGCTATTAAAAAATGAGGCAGGGGAACCAGCAGTTAGCGTAATGGCTATGTCGCTGGACTCCCACGTAGTCGACCGCAGTTCGTGTCCCGGACCCAGTGGCTTAAAACTCACGCTGGGCATGTGTGCGTGGGTGCCCAAGATCCCGAGAGGAGAATGGAGGAGAAGGGATTGCGGTGTGGCCATCCCCCCTGGGGGGTGATTTCTCGCTTTCTGTCTCTATGTCTCTCTGTCTGTCTGGCGAGCGCACGCGCCCTTTAGCGAAAAAAACCTCTCCAAAAAAAAAAGAGGCAGAGCCAACTTCAGAGTGCAGAGATTAAGTGACATAAATTGGGCACTGGATCCTACGTCGCCAGCCACGGTTCGAATCCTAGCTCTGGTGGCTTGAAAAACACTGTGTGTGTGTGTGTGTGTGTGTGTGTGTGTGTGTGTGTGCCACAGGGCCCCAAATCTGATGAGCTGGAGAAATGGAAGAAAAAGGACTGTGGAGTGACTATGTTCTATTGGGGGGTGCTTTCTCTCTCTCTCTGACAAGTGCATGTACTCTCTGGCAATAAGAAAAAAAAATTAAAAAGTGAGGCAGATCTCTATACACTTAGTTAAAAGATGCCTATTAGTATCATGTGAAAAAAGCAAGTTGTAGAATATATAAAAAAAAGATCTGTTGAGTAAGTATCTGCATGTATAGATTTGTGTGTGTACAAATAAAATTTAGTTTTCAACCACTCCATATATGGGGCCTGTCATTACTCCCAGACAAGGGAACTGTTGTACAGAGACCCCTCGGGGGCCACAGAGTTTCTAAGTGGAGGGGCTGGGATTGGAACCCAGACAGCGTGAACGCAAGCCTGACCTTCAAGCGCTGCACCTTCACGCCTGGATGAGGAAACTGGCCTCTGTGGGAAAAGCTCTGACGCACGCGCGTCGCCACGCCGGCAGCTGTGATCTCCAGTGACCGCGATCCAAGAGGCCGGGCCTGTGGCTCACCCTATGTATTCCGCATACACAAGGAACGGGAGGGGGCGTCAGAAAGCTCATGGAAACGTGCATGACGAAAGCTGCTGGGGGTGAGACGGGCGCCAGAGCTGAACGAGCCGACGGGTATGAACCACCAGTCCAAGAATCTGTTTAAAGTTCAGACTGTTAACAGTGACAAATAAAAAGTCCTATTTGTGACAGTGTCCATCTGAACATTCTTTTCAAATAACCTGAAAGCTTGGTGAATCAGATACTCTGGTTTAATAATGAAGTTTTTTGACTTGTGCATGAGTTTTATTAAATCGTTGAAAAGTGGGGGGGGGGGAAGGAAAGAAAAACTTAGGCATGAGCTTCAAAATTAGTTTGTACCAAAATAAACTTGCACTTTAATTCCATTTTTTAAATGTGAACTTTTTGGGGTATCCTCACCTCATATGCTTGGAACTTATGATAAAAGTATTTTCAAAAAGGCAGAAAGCCACCACTGGGCTCTTCCTCGGCACGTCCTCCCAGATGCCCAGGAAGTGGGTGGGCACTCACCTCTTGGCTGCTTGAGAAAACATCCGCGTGCACTGGCTCTATCTGCACAGAGATGTCACACATCTGGGCCTTATTTCCAAGCTTCTGTTCCTTTTCTGTGCTCAGCTGGAGTTTGTATTTCTCTTGGGAAACCCTAGGGCAGAGAGGAGTTGTCACTGGGCAGAGGGATGGCATGAGATTCCAGAAACCACAAATGACTGCTGTGCCCACCGGCGCCAGGAAACAGAGACCTATTTTTATAGGCAACTGAATTCTTTGAGGCTTCAAGTCCTCTCCCCCCAGATTTCTAGAGGATTTAGTTGCTGGAACTTATAAAAGCACAGCCAGGGCAGAGGGCCACTACAGTCCCTTCCTGCACGGGTCTGTGGACACCTGCTGCGGCATTTACAGGGACATTTGCTGCATGTCTCCTGTTTCCAACACTTTGGGTGTGCTAATCCTTGCACTTCTCATAACAATCCCACAGGTAGGGACTCTCCTCGCCCCATTTTACAGACAATTAAGGGGTAGACAGCAGTGTGTCTGTGGTCACCCAGCTAAGTGGACGCATTTGGCTTTGAAACAAGGCAACTAGACTATCTACCCTGTATTTTTTTTTTTCTAGAAGCAATGACTTTTATGTGCTCTAGGGCACACATGCTCATTGGAGAGAGAGAGAGAGAGAGAGAGAGAGAGAGAGAGAGAGAGAGAGAGAAAGAAAGCATCCACCTTCCCTAGGGGGGATGGTCACGGTGCAATCCCTTCTCCTCCATTCTCCTCCTGGGATTCTGGGCACACACACACATGCGTGTGTGTCAAGCCGCTGGGTCTGGGACTCAGACTGTGGAGTCGGCCATGTGGGATCCAGCTGCCTCAACCCCCACACCTGGCTGAGCCTGGAAGCTGCTTTTTAAGCCACAATGTGAATGTGCCTGGTCTTGAGCTGGAGTCACGCAAAACTACAAGATATATGTAAAACATTGATTGTCCTCAAACATTTTTAGTGAAAGCGTTACTTATGTTAAAATGTGGATAAGCTATGGACAAAAATTAAAATTCACATGTATTTATTTTTAGATTAACCATGGGACAATGACAATATTTTTGGTTGACAGGAAAGTCATGACCCATTTTTGCTGGAAAAAAAACATAGAAAAATACATCATGGCTTTCTTAATGATCTAATATTTATTTATATTTGTCTTTTTTAAAAATAAAGAATACTTTATAGTTATTATAATTATTTTTAAAATTTGCTACAGGACACACATGGTGCCCAGAGCGAGAGGGAGAGACAGAGAGAGAGACAGAGAGAGAGAAAGTGAGAAAACAAGCCACCAGGTCCAGTTGGCCATATGGGAGTCCAGCATCTCATGCCACCTGCTGGCCCTATATTTGTCTTTGTGTATTATATTTATTTGCCCCCAGGATCTTCCGTAAATATTCAGTCCCCTACACTGGGCAATGTGTGGGAGGGCATTTGCAGGCCAGGTCTGCACAGACTCTGTCCCCGTGGGGAAGGCAGATGATTAAACCGGCAACTGTAGTCTGGCTATATGACAAGTGGTTGTGTTTGGTGACAGTAAGGGAAGGCTTCCTGGAAGAAGTGGCATTTAAGCTGAGACTGACCATCTGGAATATTGGGCAGGAGTGTGTGAGATGCACAGAACTAAGCATATCTCTGTTTTAACTGATGGGGCTGTGAAGCACTGAAACGGGTATCATTCATTCACCAACTCCTCAGCCAGAATTTACTGAAGCCTCTGTTTGCACAAGGCTTCCGTGGCACCCCACATGCCGTGCAGACCCCTCCTGTGTCATGCAGACACCCCCCAACTCCATGCAGACCACTCCCACCCCACGCAGACCCCTCCCACCCCACGCAGACCCCTCCCACGCACCGGAGCGCCTCCTTGAGGACCCTCAGCTCCCTGTCCTTCTTTTCTACCAGGCCGTGCGTCTGCGCCATCTTCTCCTTGAGTGCCCTCAGCTCACTGCTCTGCTGCTGGACCAGCGCCATGCTCCGCTCCAGCTCTATCTTCTGCTTTTCGTTAAGCTCCCCTGGAGGAGGGACGTGAAAGGTGAGGGGCCCCTTGCCTCAGGCCTCGGTTAGGGCCACAGCAGACCTGCGAGGCCTCCAGCAGCTACGAAATCTGCCCTCCAGGAGTTCTCAGGGGGCTCAGCAATGGCAAGGAAGTCTGCTGTGCCTGAGCGAGTGACAGCAATAGCGCACGCTGTCACCTTCCAGTGGGTGCCAACTCTGTGCGGCCCTGTGCGCTTTTGCTTATCCCAGCCTTGCAGCCGCAGGGCTGTGAGGGCCCCACCCGGGTCCCTTTGGCATTTAGGGCATCTGGCTGACCTTCAGCTGCCTGCTTCTGCATCTTGCCTGAGGGCACGTGAAAGCCTCCGGCACCTCCTCTGCTTAGGCACAGGTGCCTCAACCTCCCCCACAATGACTGGTGCAGGCACAGTTCACGCCCCAGCTCCCTCCCCTAGGTGGGGCAGCCTGGAGACATATGCCTTACTCGTTCCCAGCACTCCCCAGCAGAATTAAGCTCTGGATGCCCACTGTGCCCACCTGATTGCTAACATGCCTCGTTTCCTTCCTCCCCCTTCCTGTCTCACTCCCTACTCCATCGTTGTTTCCTGGGATTACCTCTCAAATAGATTGCACACAGTGGAATTCTGGTCTCACCTTCTGCTTCTGGCGGAACCCAGATCAAGACACTGAATAACCTTGGACCTCCTAGCAACCCTACAAAGTAGTTGCTACGTGTTAATGTCCCCACTTCACGGATGCAGACACTGAGGCTCCAGGAGGTAAAGGGACTGCTGTAAGGTCTCACAACTGGCTGAGCAGATCTGGGATGGGCCCCAGTGTTTCTGATTCCAGAACTAGACATCGCGGCCTCTGTACTGCACTTTCTTTTTTTTTTTTTGAGAGGTTTTCGCTATAGGGCGCGTGTGCTCGCCAGACAGACAGAGAGAGACAGAGAGACAGAAAGCGAGAAATCATCCCCCAGGGGGGATGGCCACGCCGCAATCCCTTCTCCTCCGTTCTCCTCTCGGGATCTTGGGCACGCACGCACACGCGCCTGGCATGAGTTTAAGCCACTGGGTCCAGGACTCGAACCATGGTCGACTACGTGGGAGTCCAGTGACATAGCCATTACGCTAACTGCTGGTCCCTGTACTGCACTTTCTCACCCCGTACTATGGAAAATCAGCCATCAGTGCCTTGGGGTGTTATTAGGAGTGGCTGCAGGGAGCAAATCCCACCGAAGGCCTTGGATGTGCAGGGTTTGAGATGAGCACTAAACAAGTGCTCATCTCTCTCCCTCACTCCCTCAGTCAGAGCTCACAATTCCTGCCTGCCCATGCCTTTGGGCTCAGCAGAGACTAGGAATGGGAGAGAAGACAGCTCTAAGAAGGAAGAAGGGCAGCAGAAATACAAGGACAGGGGCCAGCAGATGGCACAATGCTTATGTCGCTGGACTCCCATGTAGTGAACCACGGTTTGAATCCCAGACCCGGTGGCTTAAAACTTATGCCGGGCGCGTGTGCGTGGGTGCCCAAGATCCCAAGGGGAGACTGGAGCAGAAGAAGTTGCTGCGTGGCCATCCCCCCGGGGGGTGATTTCTTACTTTCTGTCTCTCTTTCTGTCTCTCTGGAGAGTGTACTTGCCCTTATAGCAAAAATCTCTCTCAATAAAACAAAATAAAACAAGACAGAAATACAAGGACAGAGGGAAGAGGAGCAAAGTGGGCACAGAAGCCAGAGCTGTTTGTGTCTGTCCGGGAGCACATGGAGCGCAGAGTTATTCCAGCCCACCCTAGCTGGTCCTGACATCCACGTCAGCCCTAGAAAGGTGGTGTGGTGTCTCTGTCTCACATCAAAGGAAGAGGAGGGCTGGAGAGGCCTCCCAGAGCTGGGTCCCAAGGTTAGTAAGTAAATGCTGGGGTCCATGCAAACTGGCCTGTCCAGGGGGCCCTGCCATCGGCCTTCAGGGGAGGCAAATCCTCTGTGATAACAGAAAACTCTCCTCCAAAAAAACCATTGCATTTCGATGCAGAGGTTCCAAGTCCTCTGGAGAGTGGGGCCCGTGGGTGGCGTTGGTGAGTGAGGATTACCAACATAACATAGAGCTTCTGCTGACCCTGAACAGCACAGGAAAACAGGCTGACCGGAGTTTTTATTTGTTTGTTTGTTTGTTTTAATTGCCAGAGGGTTAATGCTAGAAAGACAGAGATAGGGGCGAGATCAGAGAGATATGGAGAGATAGGCGGCATTCCCCCAATGGGAATGTGGTCACGCCACAACCCCGCCTTCATTTCTCTATCCTGTCGGGATTTTGGACACACGCACACAGGCCTGACATGTTTTCAAGTCACTAAGGACTGAGATGCAAACTGCCAATAGCCATGTGAGATTTGGCTTTCTTAACCACTAGGCCATAGGGCCAGCCCTGCCTGGAGACGTTCATGCAAGGTTTTCAACCCCTAAGCCTCATTTGCTTTCTGGGTCAGGATGTTAAGAGACACAGGAAATTGTTCAAACCTCTCAAGTCTGACATGCGGCCGTGGGCTTCATTCAGGTCTTTCCTTAACCTCATGATGACCTCCTGCTGAGACAGGATTTCCTTCTGAGCAGCAAGTAAGTCGTCTCTGAAATTCACAAAAGTAGCTAAAGTCAGTTCAACTCAGTGTCTTCCGCTCAAGCATGAATGCATATGCTTATGGGTTTTTTTTATCTTTGATGCAAGGAGGGAAAACTATTGTCAGGGTCTCAAGGACTCTTTGGGGATGAGGTAGATAATGTGGCTTCTGTCTCTCCACCAGCTTGTTTGAGTTCCTGGTGGAGAGAGGCAGGTGGGACTTGAATGAATGGCGTTCATGGGCAGGCTGGTGGAAGTGTGTGCTTCTGGGCCCAGCTAACGAGGGAGACAAGGGTGGTGAGGGACAGACAGCTCCTCCTTGCCCTTGGCCCAGAGCAGGTCACCTCTGGCTCCATGAGGCTCAGCATGGTTGATGGGAGGATGGAAGGGCCAGCAGAGTGGTGATCCACAGCAAGGGTGCCAGTGGTAAGGACAGAGTGAGGCGCTCGTTGATCTCAGGATGGGGATTAGACTGGACACATTTCTGAGCAAGTGCGAGAGACCTCAGCCTTGGGGGAAGACATTTTTGTGTGCTTATGCTGAGGGAGCAGGAAGCCCTGCGCTCTTGCCCATTCAGAAGGGTGTTAAGAACCTCAGTCTTTGGGTAGCTATGGACGTCACTTAATTTGAGCTCACAGGCTTTTGAAATCCAAGATTTAAAAAATATAGACTTGAAGGTAGGGCATATGTTTATTATGAAATAAAGCAAAATACTGGCAGGTTGCATGTCAAAAAAAAAAAGATTGGTGATGATTAGAATGAAAATAACTATAGATAAGGGGACTTCAGAAAAGTCATGGAAGGGCCAGCAGGTGGTGTGGAGGTTAAGGCAGCTGGATCCCAAATGGCTGACACTTTGAGGTTCGAGTCTCAGACCCAGCAGCTTGAAAAACACACTAGGTACGTGTACATACGTGCCCAAAATCCTGAGAGGAAAACAGAGAAGGGGTTGTGGCATGGCCTTTCCCTCTGGGGGGTGATTTTTCTCTTTCTTTTTCTATCTCTCCCTGTACCTTATAGCAAAAACAAAAACAAAAACAAAAACAGGCTCATGGAAAATGCATATTAGGAAAAAATTTTTTTTTAATTTTGCATCGAAATAAGCTTGTACTTTAATTCCATTTTCCATGAGTTTTTTGAAGTCCCCTTATATACCTGTATATGCATGTACTTACATATATGTTCTGTGTGCGAGTGCATGCGTGTGCATGAGCACGAGTGTGTGTGTATGTGTGTGTGTGTGTGCGTGTGTGTCCTTAGCTTACTCTTCCAAAATGAGGATGAGACTTTAGAACTCAGTGTATCCCAAGCAAATGAGGAGCAGAGGTGAGCAATGTGGGTGCAGTCTTCTCTAAGCCATGCTGCTGTTGCCTTTGGCGAGGTTTCACCAGGAGGAGGAGGCAGCTAGGAACTTTTCGGAGTGTGGATGCTGAGCATCTCTGTCTTTTCTGGGTAAAAATCTTGTGACGTTAGACTTTGGCACCTGGGATTTGGTGCAAAGATTGGGCTGTAGGCTTGTTCCTTTGCGAAGCTTCCTGAACACTTTCTCTGCATCACCGAAGCACCCCGGTTACGTGCTGCTTTGAAGCACTTCCTGGCTCTTTCTCACCTGCATGGTTTGCTTCTCTGAGATTTGTCGGTTCCTTGAGGATCAACTTACGGACTCGTTGACCTCAGGTTGGGAGAGCTCAGGTGATTTATTTGAGATTGTTTGGCCCAGTCTCTTCACTGCTGTTTCTGGGAGCTCTCTCCACTGAGTGGCTTCCACTGTCTGCCACCTCCACTTTCTGCTCCATACCTAGCGGTGGGCCTGCCTCCGGAAGGCACGTGGGCAGAAGCCCTAACAGTAGTGTTAGCCAGCATTTACCGAGCGCCGGGCCTGTCTATCCTCATTTCACAAATAAGGAAGCTATGGCCCAGCGAGGTGGTGAGACTTGTCCAGGGTCGCACGATTAGCAAGTACTCCTTGGGCCTCTCAATGACACCATCCTGTCTTTGTTTTATTTTTTTGCTGGAGAGCACTGTGCTCATCAGAGAGAGAAGGGGAGGAGACAGCACCCCACCCCTGCCGTGGGAAATGGTCACACCACAGTCCCTTCTCCTTCACTTTTCTCTCCTTTTGGGATTCTGGGTATGCACGCACACCCACTCAGTGTGTTTTTCAAGCCACCAGGTCCAGGATTCAAACCATGTTACCAGCCATGTGGGATCCAGCCACCTTAACTACCATACCACTGACTGGCCCAGACACCATCCTGTCTTGCGAAGGGAATTGAGTAACTTGAGCAACACCGAGAAGACCCCAGACTCAATTCCTTTTCTCAGGTTCTGATGACGTGGCCAGAGGCGGGGGCCTACGCTGGTCTGTCCTTGCTCACATGGCCCAGGGACGGTGGTCTAGTGCTCACACACCAGTACTCACATCAAGTGGTCACACGCCAGCTCTTTGGCATTGTTCTTGGGTAGAGGTGCCACTGGAGGGTCTTGTGGAATTTCCTCCTTCTGAGCTGTCGCAAAGAGACACACTGACATTAATTATGACGTCCTCCGGCAACGGGTGACATCCTTTCTTCTGCTTATAAATACGCCTGCGTCTTTCACTATTATAAACCCGCCCTGGACCCTGCAGTCATGACACCCACCCTGAATCTGTGTCACACCTGGGGAGCTCGCTCCATGAAAGAGGGGAAAGCGAAAAGCTTGTGGGGAAAATAGAATTATAGTACGGATTTAATTTGGTGTCATAAAGTTGAAATCCTTGCGTAGCTTTTAATAACAAGCATTTTCCATGAACATTTTGAAGAGCTCCCCCCAACCTCATATGAGACCACGAAACCTTTCCAGCTTCTCCCTAGGCAGGGATTGACAACGCCACGAACAGACCAGGAAACAGGCGCTGGGCTGACGGCGCCCGCTGGAGACCACGCACCCGGCTGGGGAGACCTGCAGCGTTAGCGGCTGGGGGGGGGG